CCAATAGTTCCCGTTATCTCAGTGAAGAGGACAGAAACAGAATTGCACGAGCACACAAGCTGGGACTTCATAAAAAAGTTGTTGGGTTCCATGCCGAAGAGACTCGCAAAAATCCTAAGGAACAAGGGCAGACCAGTCAACTATTAGTGTACATATACTTTACATCCTGGTTATTATCAATGTTAATTTGTTATAAATAAAATCTGTTCTATTCCCTTAACTTAACTCCTAACTCGTCATGCTGTAGGTCAACCACTACTGATGAAGTGGGAGTATCCTGTATATTCTGAGTTATTCCATCTGCTGAGTATAAACGAATCAGGAAAATCAATGCTATAAAGACTCACCAAGGCTTGTTTATTATTATTTGGAGAAAAATTCACTCTAGTATAAATACTGTTGCCTATACGAACACATAAGTGCTTCACAGGGACCTGTTGCTTCAGTTTCGATTAGACCTGTAAAGCAGTACGCCTGCCGAATGTATAAAAAAATGAGGTTCGCTCTCATCCTAAACCCATCAGGAAATAACTCGCTGACTAAGTCCTTCGTATTCTCGGCTTAATATTAACGGTGGACGTGAATAAAAACCCCATCCACAAAGTTCAATATTGTTGTTCCACACCAGGTTGCATACATGAACAATCGTAAGCCCACCTAGTCTGACTACGTCAATAACGTTTTTCTGAAGGCTTACGTTTTTTTTCACGCTTCACGTCACTTTCTATTCCAAATCATCTCATAAGGTATTTGGTTTTTGTTTACGTTAAACTCCACTGGCTTTGTGGGTTCCCTGTTATATTGCCAGGTTTTTTTTACCGAGGGGACCGCAAACTCATTTCCCGATCCTTCAAGTCTCCGTCGATATGTAGCCTTATACCACGGGACGTGTGTCGGCCCACCCCACCTCAAGTTCCTGTACAACATGCTATCTGATTATTTTCATCCTCTTTATCCTACTCTTAGTCGATGCCTTCCTTATTCATTCAACCGTTCCAATTATAAACTCGCAAAGACACACATTGAGGCTAAAAGACGATCTACTGTGCCGTACCTTGGCAGATCTTTCACAAACCATGAACTCGTTGCAGCAAATCTGCGTAAAAAAAGGCTAATATAAACCAATAATAAACATAATTAATTGTATGTCATTGGTTTTGTGATATTGCTGCCTCTTCACGATTTTTAATTTTTGTATTATATTTCCCATTTGCATCATTGTTGACACTCTGTGGTTACGTGATTTGTTGAATATTCATCCCTCTGGAAGAATAAAGCGATTCCTTGATTTTACTGCAATATCCCAACCAGCGTAGTCTATGGAGGTCGATCACCTGCTTCAGTGAACGGCCACGATTACCTTAGACTTTGCGTTCAACCTCAGCAGTGCTCGTTCGGTTACCCCACCAGACACATGTACAGCGATGTTCTCCCACCGACAATTTGTTATTATCCCGTTCCCATAAGAGCCGATAATCAGTACCATAAAGCAGACTTGGCCGACCAGCTGCAGCATGCACTCGAACGCGGGACAGGACATTGACCGGCTGCTACCTAATCAAGTGCGAACGTTTCGCCCATCGTCGAGAGAAAGCCTCATCTGGTAGGGATGCTTCGACCGGTAGGCAGCTCCTCTCCGAGTTTAGCTGCTGGAGTGACCTCACTAGAGGTAAGAGTAGATAGTGAAAAGGAGTCAGGTGCCCAAACCAAGCGCCTTGTGTGACTGAGCGTTGTCCGTCCTCCCAGATGCTCATTAGCCATCTGCTTAAAGCACATAGTGGCCTTTTATTAACATCGACTTCATATTCATTTTTGCTGTAAAGTACCATCAATAAGCATTTTTTTACCGGTGGTCTACACCACCGCGGCGTTCTATACGGCTCGAAACGACAAACACGGATTTACACGCTTGAACGTGATAATTAACTAGTATGAGCACAGGAGAGTAGTCCTAAATTCTCCGAAGCAGCTTTCTGCGGTGAACCTACAGGATTTGCACGCGCCGGAAAAAAGATTGAGGTGTGCAGAGTAATTTGGCTCTCCTGGAGCAGATACAGAACTAACTCATCGGTGGTAGTATTGCAGCTCTTATCTAAGAGGCCATCAGCTCTGTCGAACGGATGTGACTCAGAGCTTGATGCATGTATTCTAGACATTCGCCGAGCGACGGTCGGAACCGGGACATTTAGAGCACTTGAGGTGGGAATATCTTAAATATTAAGTCAACCTGCATATTGTTGAACTAGCAACACCAGTTCGCTCGACGTTGAAGCTGACGACTTTAAGCTCTCGTATTAGGGACATTCCTTACATCAGACAGCCACGGTATCTCTCATGATCTCTTTCAGCTTCAATCTGAAAAACTCGGCGTTCAAACTTTTCTAGTTTATACGTGCATCGGGTCGTCCCAAGTTCTTTCGATTATTGACAGATTGTATATCAGGCTAACTGAAAAGTAAGCAAACGAGAAAAGTACAAAGTAATAATCTTTTGGTAATTTCATAAAAAGTAGTTTCGATATGTACATGCCCTCCGCGAGCGTGCGCGGAGGAAAATAACTGCGCAGATTGTGTTGCTCACTAAGAGAACAAATCGATTTCTGGTTCCTGTTGGTCATCCTCCGCTTGACCGGAGGACATGTACTTCTCTTGGGCTAGACCGATCCATTCGGTGCACATTTCAACCCCGGAAGCCATGTGCATCAGTGTCTGCAAGCTGTGCTGCTCTGCTGGGCCGAACACGTAACCGTTTGCACGATCCGCATAACGCATGACGCGTTCCATGTGAGACATATTCTGGATGTCCAGGAGAAGAAATTGCACCAATGACTGGTCCTGAATCACGCCAATCAAGGCTCGATTCAGTCGTTCATATTTGGTCATGAACGGATCGTTCGTTTTGTTGATCTTATCCACAAGGTACTGCAAATCGAGAACTTCAGTGAAAAAGTCCAAATTGAAATCCAACTCGCCAAATTGTTCCACCAAATCTGCTTTGCTCAACACATTCACATGCGGCAACCCCAATTGTAACATTGTGCTCAGAGAGGTGAGCAGACAGGAGATGAACTTTCCCGGATCGGAACAGTAGTGCGAGTCGACCAGATGAACTGCCGTCAGATGAAGTCCAACACCGTCAAGCAGTGGATTCTGCGAAGGCTGCGGACGCGTTGTAAGATAGGACACTAGTTGTCGTGTAGTTGAATGATGAGTATAGAGTTCGACCTGCAGGGTTTAAAAAAATCGGAAGAAGAAATATATGAATAGTTAGAAAATCGACCATACGAAACATAAACGCCTTCCTCTACTTTCGGGAACGGAGAAAAAACCGGTCCAGGGGAACTTTTCAATTTAGAGCAGTGTTTCTCCTGGTGATTATTGCAATCATAAATTCAAGATGCTATGGTATACATATACACTAACAAAAATAGGCAGCATACCCGGATCAGTTGTATGCTAAGTTGCGACCCTCCGCTCCCCTCAAATACACACAATTCGCGGTATCCGGTTGGGATAAACAAGCCAAACATCAGTTAGTAACCTGTATTTTAACCTGGACGACCCTCAAAGTAATTTGTGTGATTACTTTCAGGATGGAGTTTTGTTGCACTGCTTTTCAATCTGCATTCGAAGCCTCTCCCAGGTTGTTGAGTTTTTGAATATCCTTCTGAGATGTGAACCTATTGCCAACCCGGTCGGGATGTGATTTACCGGTCGAAATCGGTCACACGCTTGATCCACACGTCAACGGTGGCAATGGTCAACAAATTATTACCCCGGAAGACGTATGTTCGAACCGCTTGAGTTTCCCCGATGCAGTGTTGTACTGTAGTCCTTTGAATGGATGGGTGCCACTTTATCGAAAACCGCATTATTTTATATCAAATAAAAGGAGTGAAAAATGAATGCTAATAACAAGCAACCGGAGGGGGGTGGCGTAGTGAATTTCGCAAACCCTCATTGTGAATGATCAAAGACAGGACGGAGAGGGAACCATTAATATGAAAAAGTGGTGTGATAATATTGATTAAATTGCGTTACTCCTTCATTATTATATCACTGCTGACAATACACTTGAAACCGACAGGGTGTCTATAGTGTGTGAAGTAAAAACTGAGAGATCCAAAGGGTACAGGAATGACAGGTTGGCACTGATAAAGACGGTATAATGTTGCGGCACATCACTGCAGTGTTACTCGTGCGACTCATTAATTCACGCACAGACAGGTATCGAACAGCGAGAACACGTCACAGAACGAAACAAACCATTCTTGAACACATTGAGAGCGGACAACGAATCAGTGACTCGCGCGTAAGATCCTACAATTTGGTGGGTTTGATGTGATGATTCAAACATCTGGGCGTGAGAACCACGACTCAAAAACCGTAACGTCAACCACACACCGATGACATTAGTCGGCGTGCGTGTGTGGTCGAGTGAAGTGTAATGTGAAAATGACCGCAAAGTTGCCTGTGTCCGGAAACAAGAGCAAAATGAACATGCTAATAAGACCAGTATGAGGCGGTGAACATTGTGTCATCATCGAACGTCAACAGCACTACCTGTTGCAGAGCTAAATAGCGCCTAAGTGGGAAGAACAAAGCTGATTTGAATAGCAGAGCCGCAATGGACACACGTCTGATCTGGAAGTTGGCCGGATCAACTAGGTGGCGTGTGTCGCTAAAAATACATTGATATGCAATCAGCTGGTTCGAACGGAGGAAGGAAAACAATGTCACAGACCGCATGAACCGTGCGTGTTAAAGAAACATACTCCAGGTTGGTGTGTTCGTCATTGAGTGACATTGTTACTAGGTCCTTTTCAATAGCTGAACAGCATATCACTCATTGGAGTATGGTACCAAACCTATTACTTTCTGACAGTCCGCTTCATTTCGGTGATGGTATGCGCTCACACGTGTGTAGGCGATTTAGCTGTTGCGAATAGCTGCCACCTCATGTTTTACGAATTGCTTTTTTTCTGCTGTGGTTCTGCAGTTTACCGATGAAATGATACCCAGAAGAATGCTGCTCGAAACCCCTTCCGTTTCTGTTTTGAATTCGTGCGGGCAACCATCGTTCCAACAGTAGTTTTAACAAACCTGTCATTTTGGTCAAGTCTTACAGGACGTGGTTATTGCGTAAAGCAACAGGATTGGCCTATAAAGAATACAACATTAAAAAATATGTTAAACGGACAAGGAATAATGACCTTGGAACAAAACGAAACAACTGCACCGACCTTCTGGTACAAACAGTTCCATGAAGAGTTGACGGAAGCATTTGAAGTCATGCGTTCATGCAACTGTTAAAAAACCGCCCCTATCTTTTCGTTGTTCGTTCTTCAAAGTTCCCCCGAAGAGAAACAATCGAGAAAAAAGAACATGTGATGCTATAATAAAGACCAACTTAGAATTGACCAAGTGGATATCATGTTGAGAATATTTGGCATTTGATGCATATCTCAAGGCTGAATTACGATGGTCACAGAAAACGTTTATCACATTGCAAGGCATGAACTGGTCGTATAAAGGTCACGGGAATGCATGAAATGCGGAAGCGGTTTCTCTATGCGGCTTGCTGACGAAACGTTTCGACCGATTGACGATACACAGCTTCAAAACCGGATGCTTGACTCGGAGCTACAATTCAAGAGGTGTAACGAAATATTTTTTGAGGAACGTGTTGCTCTCGAAAACACCGGTTTCCACAACATTGTGATTCACAGCACGGTACAGTTTCGCCAACATCAGCTCGTATTCGTATATGGAAATGATCAGCGATCGTGGGGGATGGCATAAAACTGAGAATAGAATTCAACCTCTGCAATCGCATACACCATCCGGAATCGATCATGCTCTGCATGCAAGCATAATGACCATGCAATTGACAAATCGGTGGCGTTTCGTTGCCACAATCCAACTGGGATTAGAAGATCCTTTTTACTTTCCACAGTACCATACGGAACCTTGATTTTTGACATTGTTGTTCTGTTCAAGTTTTGGCAAAACAACTTGTTGATTTGATATCTCGGTATCGTGGCACACAACTACCTGCGTGTAGGCGTTTTCATTCGTGGTTCATAAGGACACCGATGGTTGCGTTGTGCACCAATGTTACTATAGTTAGCAGTTGATAATGGCAACAATGCACCCACCTCTGTACAGACACAAAACAGAGACCCACTCTCTTTCATTCCGTTCGAAATAGCGTAGTAATCACGACCCCTAAGTTGAAGATGCATTCCTAAAACAGTTCGTCAATTACTGCTAAGGAACTGGTACATTTTATTCCAGCGCTTTAGAAAAGACTGCACCGACGAAGTACTGTTTCCACTTTTCAACGGAGAGCAAACACGAAATTGGTCGAGGAGAGTGAACAGTAGTCCATTTGTCCAAACGGATACTATAACGCTCAAGCGGTGATGATGAGCTTCAAAGTCGGGGATTGGGCGAGTCTATGATCGACCGCAACCGCGACATCCGAACTTGCAGTATACAAAATCTGCATGCGAACCAATGAGGAATAAAAGCCGCACCTCGATACCACAACCCGGATCTTCATCCCTATATTTCGTCGTTCGGACTGAATCTCGGTATTGGTGATTTCTACTGACATATTCAACATCCAGCATTAGAACTCGCTACTGCTGTTATGGTAATCTCAATCATATAGTTACTCTCCTTTTTTGTTTTGCATTTAAGATGTTTTATGAAAAATGAGACCTGTCGTTTCATAATTTTCTGGGTTCATTTTTAGCTAATAAAACAGTAAAAAGCGTGTTCCCCCACCCAGCGAATGTGGCGACCAAAGTTTGGACGGAACAGCGATTGGGGATAACCTTCACCGAAGGTTAGCTGTGAATAAGTTGTGACGAACCGCAACAATTAAGCAGTCGCGAACAACACAGCGAGGACACTATCAGGGTGTGGCGGGTTTCAGGCTGGTCATCTGGCTTCTGTTTAGAAGCTGTATCAGCCCAATGACGGTGTCGTGACAAAGGTCGATGTGGCTTACCTATAAAAACTAAAGTCATTAACCTACTTACTTCCGAGGCGAGGGATTACTTCCTGCTGTCTTGCAATTCGCATTTGATTGTGCAAAGGCTAGAGTTACGCCCTTAAAACAAAAAACGCCGAGTGACGCTGGGGACGGCTCCGCACCAAACTCCCAAGGAACTTCATGATTATGTGTGGAGCCGGCTTTTTCTTTCCAAGTAGCCAGCTACAGTAATGTAAAGTAAAGTAGGTCCATCTTAAGACTTCGAGCAGTGGTGATACCATTTCGTCTTTTTAAGCTTGGCAAAGCCAAGTTCAGTTTTAATCGTGCACATTAGTTGACCAACAGGTGGACAGTGTCTTATCAGACACAGTTCAACAGAAAAAGCTGATAGAAATGCAGCGAAATGATCCCGGATACGTTGTGAGAACCCTGTGCTTTTATCTTTACCGCTTAAATTGGTCTCGGGGAAACTCGGCTGCCGATTTCCACACCCGGTATCTGTGATCGGGTCAGTCAGACGGAGGTGCATGATTGCTGTGAAGCGAACAAGAAGAACTGAGTTCTTGTTGGAAAGTATCTAGCGGAGCCCTTATCCGATTTCTTATTGTAAGCGCTATCGTTGTGAAAACATCCGTCCAACACTGTTGATCAGCTTAACCCTGTATATATATATACATATAATTGTGGAAACTCACTCCACTCTTTAGAATGCTCGACTGTGTACAGCAGGAGTGCCATCATCACGCGACTGGGCACTAGGTAATCACATGGATATCACAAACGCTATGAACAGGTGATCAGACAATTTCGCCTCGGGGTGAGGAATTAAAAGTTGCGCAGAAAATTATCCAATCAGATCACAAAGAGGTTCAGAGGTTAATTCAGTTCTATGAGGTCATGCGTGAGAGGGCATGATAATGTGAAAGGGTGAAGCAATCCCAGTTTTATTTTCGAAATAAAAGATTTGACAAAATCTCATGTTTCGGCTTTTCATTTGATTGCCGTCTAGATCCTGAAAATGGTGACGATCGTGTACATGGAAACGGAAGTATTTAAAAATCTATGAAGACAGGGGAGAGAATGCTTTTATCGTGGAGGGTATATAAACGATCCTTATAATTATGTGAAACTTTCACATATGTCAATGAATGTTTTGTGACTGTGAATGTAGGCGCAAATGTTCGCATAAATCACAAGTTATCATGATTCAACACACAACTCGTTCCAACGTGTGTCATCACATATTACTGACTGAAGCTAGACCGAGATGGACTCGGTTACTCGATAACTCAGTTGTTTCTTTGTTCACCTGAATACTTATTATATGGATATTGATATTTTGTCTTGAGTATTTTCATTAAAATCTGGTCAATCTTTTCAGAACGACAACTTAATATTCATGATTACTATCTGCTACTATGCGCATGACTTTTAAGTTGTCCTTTGGAAAAGATTGACCAGGTTTTAATGCGAATACTCAAAACGAAAAATCAATACGTCATTTGATCGGTTGTACGAGGAGAGGAATAACTTACCGAGTAACCGAGCCCTTCCCAGTCTGGCTTCAGAAAACAATGTGTGATAACTAAGTGTGGCGTGTCCGATGAACCCTAGGGAAATCAATTCATCTATCATCCGGTCGAAATGAAGCACTTTGTCAAGCTGAGCAACGCATTGAGAACCGTTTGCAATGCAAACAACACTAAGCGGCTGACATACGCCGAGATAATAGTCATGCAAAATTACCATAAAACGAGTAAACAGTGTGACTGCTTTATTACTCAGGTACTACCTTGGCAACAAAGGTGTCTGGTGGGTGATGTTGATCGCAATCTTTCTCAGTTAAACTGAAGTATGTAGGAGTATAGTTGAAGCGAAATGATCCAGGATACATCGTGCAAACCTGTTTCGGTCTCCCGTACTCAAATAAGAGCAATCGTAAAGATGCGACTAGAGTAAACCGGAGAAAAACCGGATGGTTTAACGGTACACAAGTCAATGATGAGTCTCAGTTTCAGTTTTCATAACCATTAAACACGGATTTTTATGCGCCGGTTTTGATTATTGTATTTTGGTTGCCCATTTGAATTATACAGCACAATGCAGATTGGAATGCTGAGGGCAGAATCAGTGAGAAGATAGGGAACTCGTATAAACTGGGGTTACCAGTTTATTGAGTCGATGCACGAGTGCCACTGTTTGCAACACCCAGCCATATTACTCAGCGTCTCTAAGCCCCGGTTACAACGAATTCGGGGTCCCCATCCAGGGAACGTAACGGGATCTGTGACCCAGTGTCCTGGTTGGGGTTTCATACCCTCATGCAGGGTTTTAGTTTACCGCCCTTGACCTATTCGCTGCCTGCCTCGGCAAACATCGCGCGCATCATGGCAACCTATTTGGTGACATGCGTAGTTACTGAGGTAAAAATAGAGGAAGCAACCAGTATGGAAACAGAAAGAGCGCTGAGATTCTCAAGGTAATCGGTCACGAGAGGAAAAGTGATTTTTCACAATCAACTCAACCAGAGAAGTACTGCAATACAACACCCCATTTTTAGTACTGGTTTAACTGGAACAGTCCAGTTACAATCAATACAATCTGAGCACTGCAGTCATTGAATTCATGAGATATCTCAGTGAATTGATAACCGTGTTTCTTTTTCATTTATCACTGATATTACAGATATTACAAAGTCTGAGACTGAAAGAGTGACACCTGCAGTCTAGTCGACTATTTTGGAGCAAAAGTTTACACGGATGTCCTCTCAGGTGATCATTCCTGGATAGTGTTAGTAGAGTACTTACTAAACGGGTGGTTAAAATGATGTAATACTTCACATACGAGGATCATGTCTCCTCGTATCCATGGTATTCAGGTGAATCGAGTACGAGGATTTGCAGTCTTGCATCGTAGATTTTAGATTGCAACCGTTTGATCATTTTATTTGCTTTCCTCTGCGCACGTTCGAGTGTTTTTTTTGGTCGCGAATCAGCCATGGATTTCAAGCTTGTATAGCATACTCGGTGTGTGGTCTAAGGTAGGCTGATAGTAAACGGGGTAATAGGTCTGCTTCGAATGATCCGAAAACACGTTTTAGCCATCTAAATTGCTTTATAGCCTTTGATGACGCTCTTGCGCAATGTGTGGAACAACCGAAATAATCACGAACAATGACTCTCGGATCCTTTTCGCTTGGAGCAAGCGGTAATGGTTGGTTTCCAAATGACTATGGAAAGCGACCCCTGTGAGGCAAGGATATAACATTGTATTTATCAAAGTTGAATTTGATATCTTTAGTGGTAGACCATCGGTAAGCTGCGTCGAGTCTCCCGCTGAGTTTTGTAATCTTTAGAGTGTTGTACCGTCCTCCCAGGACAGCTGGTAGGTCGTTTATGAATGCGTGGAACTCCACGGACAGCCTCATTCGGTCCCAACAGAGGACCATTAACCAGAACTGATAAGCTGTGTTTTCGAAGAAATCCCTCAACCCAATCAAGGAACAGTCCTTGAACATCGTGGATATTGAGCTTTCGCAACAGTATACGACGGTTAACTCTGTTAAAAGCACTGGAGAAGTACCAGTAGAATACGTGTACTGCTTCTTCTGGCGTCAACTGATCTTGTTCACTCATCTGGTGCAACTAGCAGGTTTGTGGTGCATGAGCATTTTCTTCGAAACCGTGTTGGGCCGGCAAAAGAATGTTATACTTCTCGAAATGCTCGATCAGCAACAATCGATTACATTACTTTTGACAGAAAAAGATGAAATGTAACTGGACGGTGGTTCTTAGGATCACTTCTGCAGCCACCTTTGTAAATAGGTGAAATGATATCGTATTTATGGGAGTGACGAATCTTCGTATTGTCCAACATGCTTGGGTATAAATCAGCAATTATTTCCAGTATGTGATAACCGAACTGAATGTCAGTAATCGGACACAACCAGAAGCCACAAATGAAAACTATTTTCACATGAGTGAGAAGAATGATTAAGACTTGAGAACTGTCATAACAACGCGTACAATGGATCACTCGTAACTTTGGTGTATCTAAAAAAGAGCATGATGGCCAAACCCAACTGAGGGAAAAAATTAAAAGCAAAAAATGTTGCCGATACCGCGGTATCCCGAAAAGGTTACATCTCTTCCGTTCCGTTTCTAGCTTCAGTGTGAATACAGTGAAACATGTTCT